AGATCGAGAAGTTGCTTTTTGAAACAGAACTATTTTTTTCTTTAATCCAATCTCAACAGCTTGAGTCGATTTGTTTATATCTAGAAGAAGTTTTTACTCAAAATAACGTCGCAGAGACCTACTGGGTTGCTACAAAAATGAAGCGAGTTTTAGATTTCGAAAATTTGAAAATTGTGGGTTTCCTTGCTAATAATAACGAAGAAACAATGCTAATTAAATACGGGCTTTATCGCTATTCGTACTCGGCGTTATTCATCTCAATAATATTTTTAATGAAGGAACTCCGCATTGTGCCTTACGTTGAATATATTTTCCAACACTTCGATCAAGATTTTGACTGCAACTACTTGAATTGCAAGCAAGACCAGGAAATAATGTGCAAATGTATCGAGCTTACGATTAGCGAAAGTTTAAAAGAGTTTGTTAACGGTGCCAATGCGGAGAAGCCGCCTTGGCTTCTTATTGAAAAAACTCAAACAAATAACGTTGATAGTTTTTGGGAAGTACTGAGTGTCGTTTCAGGGCTGTCCGAAAAAATATTGCAATTATTTTCAATAGAATATTTGAAGTTGGTCGGCCTTAAATCTGAAAAAACATTAAATCTAGCAAATGCAATTTTTCTTCACTTTAGTATGTCAGATTATGTACCCATCTCAGATGAATCAAAAACAGCTAAACTGATCAGTCACTTTCAGATTAGTTTTTATAAGCTGTCACTAAATTTAGCTTCCACAAAACCCGGACTTCATTTAGAAACTACCTATCTATTTCTAGAATCAATGACGAAACCAGTTTGCATTAAAACCACATTTCCCATCATTATAAAAAAACTTTGCAGTTGTTTAAAAGTAGAACCGGTTAAAAAAAAATATGTCAATCGTATTGCGTATTTGATTGAGTTAATTAGAAACGAACTGAACATAAATAATAACTTCATAACCGAGACCTTGTCAAGTGTTTTGCTCTCCGAGCCAGACATTGAAGCCAAAATACTTTCGCTACTTGAAATCAATCAACAGGGAATAAACGAAGCTCCAATCACAACACGTGGTAAGTCATTCGGATTTAACAACATAACTAGGTTAAACTCTTACAAAGTTAACAATTTGTATTTTTTGTCAAATCCAGCGCCAGTTCTTAATAAAAGAAAAATAAGTATAAAAAATATTACAAATTATCAAAGATTGTACGACTTGGATCTAGAAACGGGTGTAAATGATGAAAAAAAAGAAATAATCGAACTGTATAAACAACTTAAATATTTTCAAAATAACGATCAGTTCGAAGTATTTTTACACGGTACAGGGCTTTATATTGATCCAAAAGTTAACAATGTTAAGGAAAATTCTGGCAGCAGTCAAATGCAAAATTCGAGTTGCTACACGATAGAAACAGTCATGTCTTTCGATCAAAACAAGTTTTTCGAAACAAAAACACCAAAAATGAAAATGAATTTAATATCCAAGTTGCCTAGTTATGATTCTAACGATTCTACTAATTTGGAAACAGGCCCAAATTTAATATCTGCAACTCCAAAAATTCGCGTAGGTCTATTAAAGAAATTGACAGGAACTAAGGCTGTAAAGAATGATTCTGATAAACATCCAGTTTTTACGATGAACAACATACAATTTGTAGAAGATTTTGATAGTTTAACGACTACGTGCGATGACAAGAAAGAAACAGGAACTCAAAAATATTATTCAACAGTCTTTGACAACGTGACAGAGAGCTGTCTGGAATTAAACGAAAAAACTTCAAATAAACTAGAACAGTGTTCTCAATTCGAAAAAGTACAAGAAGAAGATTCAAATTATATGATAGAAGATTCTGATGATGTTAATTTCAAAAATGAAATTAAGCAAAAAGAAAAAAGCCAATCGAACAAAGAAGTTACGCAAAATTGCGGCGATGTTACAGATTTGTTTAATGATAATACCCTGACTAGTATTTACAATAGTAATATGCTGATTCAGTATGAAAAAGATCAGGAGGACGACATGCTAAGCGAAATTTATGAAAAATTATTTTCAATTCACAATGAATCAGTTGCATTGATTTATTCCGAACTTGCTTCCTGGTATAACAAAGATGAAACGTGCGAGACCACTCCTCTGGCTACTTACTATAAACTTATTCGTGAGTATAATTTTGCAAATTCTACTTGTTCTTATTGCTGTCTGTCTCAAATTGTAAACGAATATTTTTTTGCTGAACCTAATATGACAAAGCTCGTGATATACGACATTCGGTGGATTAACTATCAAACTATCACGGTAAATAATCAGATTTTACCCTTGAACAACTTGCTCAATAATATTTTTTCGTCTCGTTACGTTTTGCAAACTACTAATTCGCTTAATCAAGGCCGCTTAAATTTAAATAAAGAAGTTATAAGAAGTATTTACTCGTTTTCTTCTTTACTTAACGACTACTTAGCCGCAATAGAACCAAATAACGAACTACGACTATTAGCTATCTACTCCTACTTGCAAGAGTGGACCAAAGAATCATTGTTTTATGGCCCGTTTATAAAATATCTAAAAGGAAAGCAACTTATTGATTGCTTGGATATCAGTTTTTCTAGCGAAAAAAGCTGTCTATGTTTACAATACGAAAATTTGATGCGAAACGTGCGAGATATTCTCATGACTAATGCGGAAAAAAACCAAAGCATTAATGACACAAATATTGCTAATTTATTTCAGAATTCGGCATCAACTAGTTTTATTTCTTTGCCAGTGGATGTTTATAGGCATTTGAATGATTTAATGACCCAAGAATTGAATTGTTCAGAAATGCATCAGGTAACTAGCTGTAAAACGTTGAGCAATAAAATCTTAGATTTTTCGAAAAGTAAAGTGCGTTTCAGCGAGAATTTAACTAGTGAATTTATATTCAATCCTCAAGACAGTTTGGTCCAGAATTTCGCATTAGAAGATGTTGAGGTAGATCAAGAATTTGATGTTTCAAGCTGTGACAAAGCAGAGTACAATACTACATCTATTTTGAAACAAGATTCAGAAGAATTTTCAGTCATAGAACTAAAGTGCAAAAAAATACTTGCAAACCAACGAAACAGCACAGAAGCGTTCGGTCATAAAACTTCTTACAGTTCAAAATTTTTCGGTCAATCTATTTATCGCAATCAAGAGTCAAAATGTAACTATCGTTCATTATTGCTAGATTTAACTTCACGTAATATTCCTACCCGGCAAATCGGTTCGATGGACAAAAGTTCAAATATGGAATTTTCTGATTTATTATTGACTGAAAAACCTAAAGATGATGTCGATGACAAGCTAAATGTCCTAAGTCAAAATGTAATTCTACATCAAGACAGCGGGTACAAATTCAACAGTCCCAAATGTTGTACTGAAAATGAAAATAGTAGCGAACATATTCCTAACAAGAATATTGGTACTGATGAAATAGAAAGTCCAGAACAGACAAAAACAGTTGAAAACAAAATGAAAAACTCTTTCACTAAACTTGCAAAAACTGTAGATGCAATCAATCATAACAATCAACAGAACATACTCGTCGAAGATTTTTCTAACTTGAAACCAAGCTCGGTTTACACAAACAATGATTTGCTGTTTGGGCAAAATCGTTTGTCTAATGATATTATTGACGAAGAAGAATCTGACTACCAATTGATATTTCTAGCTGATAAAGAATGCCCCCAAGTTCTTACAAGCGAAAACCCAGGTCTCGAACCGTGTTTTGCTTCCAATAACTTTGAAGAGGACTTACTACTCAAGCCACAAGCACTAGAAAATTTGGATTCGCAATCCGAGATAGAAAGCTCTGCGGATTGTATTATCCTCAAGTACTCAACGCACTCACCTGGTGACTGCAACGGTTCCGACTCTAGCTCCAACGAGCTTACTGATATGAACGCAAATATTAAGAGTATATTTTTCAAAGAGCAAAATAAAAATGAAATGGTTAGTGATACTTCAGAGCCAGATAATAAAACCGACATCGCCAATTTAGAATTGAGCAAAATAGAAACAGGCATGCCTTCGATCGTAAACAAAGATTTTAAACAAAAAAAAATAGTGACGATAGAAAGTTCGCCCAGTGCGGATTGTTCTGAGTCTATCTTAGACGATTTACACATCGATCCTGAGAAAATAAACGAGAATGTTCTTAAGTTTGAAATCGTCAGTTCTCCTAAAAGAAACAATCTCATGTCCTTAAAGCGAAGTAGAAAAAACAAAAAGCTCAATGAGACGAACTAAGTTTCGCTTTATTAGGATTGTACTAGTCCGGCTGGTTGTTTAAATCATTGAGCACCCAGTTAGAAACTTTCTCATAAAATTCATTGTTGATTTTGTCCATTACTGAGTAGTGTTGAAGAGCACCAAAAACGATGCGTACATAATTAACTAAAAAACAATGAACAATATCAACGTTATTTAAAGAGCCTTTCATAGTTACAAAACTGTCTTTACCCAAAAGCCGTGTCAGAGTTTGCTGTTCGTCAGTTGTAATGACAGACTCTTCCGCCATAACATTGATTAAACGGGAAATTACCTTATTCCACACCGCGGACCCAGCGTCAAGACAAACACGTTGGAATAAAAGTGCATTTTTTTTATTGTAGTCCAACTTATTGCGCTCGGTTTCAATAACTAAACTAGTTGTTTGAAAAAGTTCATACAAAAGATTTGCACTGGTAAAGTAAATACATGAACTCGGAATGTCAGCAATATCAATAGCTGAATGTAAATAAAATTCATTTGTAGTACACTTATGACAATTGCAAGGTGTAGAAGTCGGAAGCTCGAGCGATAATTCGACTAAGCAGTTTTGATAAAAACGGGCTCGCGTGAAAATAAATTTACTGATTTTGGACGGATAAAATTCTGATAGCAATAATGGTTCTGCGGAGAAACAACACGAAGTTTCTGGCGAACAGAAAGATTTCAGCCTCGCGTAAACATCGATTAGCTCTGGTCTGTTATCGGGGTTTCGCGCCAAGCAGTCTAGAATCAGCTCTTTCAGTTCAGAGTTTATGAAGCAAGCAATATCTAAATCAGAGTGAAATATCCGATAATACGTCGCCAAAAAGTTTGCCCCTACAAAAGGTGGGAATCCGGTTGCGACTTGATACATCACACAGCCGAACGCAAAAACGTCACTCTTTTGGTCGTTGTTTTTGTTTAAAATGACTTCTGGAGCTTGAAAATTGGCAGATCCAACGTAATGCAGCATTTTTGTTTCAGACTTGACGCCAGAGCCGTTGGTGAACGGTGCGTTCCTTTCATCCAGCTCGAGATCGCGCGACATTCCAAAATCGAAAATCTTGATAATGACTTCTGAGTCATTATTTATTTTTTTTAGGTATAAACCAACATTTTCACATTTCAAATCCCTAAAGATAATATGTTTGGAGTGGACAAATAAGAGTGCGGTTGCGATTTGCAATAATATTTTAATTATTGTTCTGCTTGATTGAATGCCAAACAAACGAATTTTTTCGTAGAGCTCGCCGCCATTAAAGTACTCAAGCAGCAGATAGAGGTATTTTTCATCTTTGTACGTTTGATGCAGTTTGATTATGTGGCTCTGGCAGCATTTCGGAAGTAGTTTAAGAAAACAAACGCCATCGCACGGGTGACTGATCGTAAAATTAGATGTTAAAGGGGTAAATTGAGTTTCTGGCTGCAGCTTTATCAAGCTGTGTTTTTCTTGCAGCGGGATATTAATTTTGTCTCCGCAGGCAAACTTTGAAATAAGAAATTTTTTTACTGCATAATAATTATTTTGATACCTAACAAAATATACTTCTGCAGAAGATCCGTCGCCTATATATCGAAGTATTTCTATTTCGCTCGGATTAAATACCGATTTCACGTTTGGCATTTTTGCACAACAACGAAGTGGCCATTAATTTTTGTTTAACAAAAGATTGTTGCGTTACAAATTTATTTGTTAAATTCTAAATTCTAATTGTAATGTTACTATAAATGGAGTTTTACACATTTATAGAGGCATTATGTAGATTCATAGTCTATACTTTCTTCAGTGAAGTAAAGATTATAGGCAAAGAGTCTATTCCACATTATGGCCCGACAATATTTGTCGGCAACCACTCCAACAAATTCGTCGATGCAATACTTTTCATCGCTTGCATTCCACGCCGAATTCGATTTCTTGTTGCGCTCAAAACTATGAAAAAAGGGCTTGTCGGCTACTTCTGTCGGTTGCTCAATTCGATTCCTATCATCCGACCTGATGACATCAAAAAATTTGGCAGCGGAATGCTCATGGGCCTTCATAGTCTAGAATCGCTAAATGTGCAAGAAATTAAACTTCCGCTATCTGAAGCAGCGAAAAATAAGTTTCAAGAGTACGCCGATAAAATCAAAGAGCAAAACATAGACAACCTCAAAAGTTCCGACTTCAAAACTTGGGGAATTTGTCAGGGCGATCAAAAAGTCCAGTTTCTAAACGAATTACGCGACGGTTACACCATTCGGTTCAATACCCAAATCCTGACTGTAAAATGTGTTTTGTCAAAGGATTTGCTTATTGTACAAACAACCAGAGAAGCTATCATCGCTATCAGCGAGCTGCTGCCTACCCAGTTTTTTTATGCGCCGAAAACCAACCAAGCCGCTGTTTACGAATCCGTAAATATATCCCTCATGAACAATCAAAGCATAGGACTCTTCCCAGAAGGTGGTAGCCACGATCGCCCCGGTCTGCTTCCTATGAAACCTGGAGTCGCCATTATGGCGCTTTCAGCCGCTTCGCTCGGAGTTGAGGACATACTGGTTATTCCCTGTGGTATCCATTACTTGAAGCGCGACAAATTCAACTCAAAAGCTATCCTTGAAGTTGGCAAACCAATCCAAATCAAAGAAGAAGACGTTATGCTTTTCAATTCCCCAAAGCGCAGTTTAGCTATTCAAAAGTTGCTCGACGAAATCAAAAAAAATCTTGAAGACTGCATTGTTTGTGCAAACGACTTTGAAACACTAAAGGTTATAGACATTGCCGCTAAACTCTACGTTCCTAACCGAGACAAAATCACTACAGACAAGGACCACACTTTGCAAACTCTGTTTACCAAAATATTACGCTTGACTGAAGAATTAGATATTACAAAAAAATTCAAAGAAGACTTGTTGGACTACCAACGCTTGTTGGATTACAATGGAATTACAGACAGCGAAGTTTTCTTACTGAACATCGACACTCAAACCGCTTTTTATCACATGATAGGCTCAAGCATTTATTTGGCGTTTATCGTGCTACTGAGCTTGCCCACTTTTATCATCACGCGCCCTATCAAATATCTTAGCGACATTATGACCGAGAAACACAGAAAAAAATGCACTGCGGAAAATTCACTCAAAATACACGGAAAAGATGTCATTGCTAGCTACAAACTCGTTTGGTTTATACTCGCTGTTCCTATTCTTTGCGTGATTATTTCTCTTCCCATTGTTTATTTTTTTTCGAACTCATTCTTTGGTTTCATTTTGGTCACAATTACCGTGTTCACAATACTGCCTTTAGTGCTGTACAAAAGCGTACTTTTGCAACAAAAGATAATCCCGCTGGTGAACTACATTAGTTGCTGTATGCGAGTTTTTAAAGGAGGAATAAGCGTTGCGCACAAAATGGAATTTGCTTTTTTGGCGGATCGAATCGACGCTCAGCTAAACGTTAGAAATTATGTTAGCGAGATCGTTTCTGCTGATTTCAGAAAGAAACATCTTGAATGGGACCAAGAACTTCAAAACATCCGTTACCTATTTGAACAGTTAATTTCGTTTATTGTCATTGATGCAGATACAAACAGACTTAAGCGCTCGAAAAATAAACTGTACACTCCCTTAATTAATATGAAAATTTATGATAAAGAGGAAATTATTTAAACATTCTCTTTTGTGTTGTAGATCTAAAAATTAATATAGTGGCAGGTTTGTTCCAGGCCCACTACATAGTATTCAACAACTCTATGGAGTATTTAGGGTTCACAATGTCGTAAGATGCGATTTGCATTTTTTTGGACTGGTTAAACATATACAACAGATGCTCAGGAATTAGAGGTAGTCTAAACCGACAAAACAACTTAATGCAGTTTTGAATTCTAGAAGCCGTTTCGAAATATTTACGAGTAAAGTGCTGATCTGTGTTTGTAATATTTTCGTTACCCTGTATCAAACTTGAGCTAGAATAAGAAGAACAGATAAGTATATAGCCGTTAACTCCTATTATAACGTAACATGAATTGTCTATTTCTACAACGTGGTTGGACAACCGCTTTATTATGTAAATTGGAATTTTGAATAAATAGCCATTCTGAATTTTACTGTTTTTAGACCCTCTTGTGTGTAAGAAGACATGTTTATTTTTGCTTATGTATTTTACTTCCGCAAAAATATAGTCACCGATGTCGTAATTGTTAATCAGTTCAACTGTTTCGAACTCTGTCTTACATCTTTGTTCGCCAGACTCCAAAAACAAATCATGCGGACGTATTGTTGCTGTTTGAATTGCTCCTATATCTACATCCCATTTTTCAGTCTGCACGTTTTGAACGATTCCGACGACAACATCGCCCGGAATAGGGATATATGGTCCGAAAAACTGTGACACGTATGCGAACTGATTGAAAAATGTTAATCTTCCAGACAAAGTTGCATAATAATTGTTTTTATTTTTTAAAATACCATGTCCAATCAGACAATTGGTAGGAAGATTCAATCTGTCTCCTACAACTACTATATCAGAATCTAGTTTTTTGTTTACTTGATCTGAAATATTCTTTTCAACCTCTATAAGATTTTTTAAGGAAAATATTTCTATCTCCATAATTATATAAATCAGCCAGAGTCAACCTTATGATAACCGCTTAAACTTGGACAAACACTAAAAAAGGGCCGCCTAACAATTTATTATTGGAACTAGTGTTTCGTTAATAAATTTTAATTTCATTTAAAATATTTTTAATGCTTGCTAATATTTGAGGGTTATTTATGTCGTGAGGGGTGTTGGGCAAGACAATAAATTTCATTAACTGGTATTTTTTAACCAATCTGTGAACCTCACTGAACTCGCAAACCAAGTCAGAATACCCCTGTATAACCCATATTTTAGTAGTTTTATGATGTAATTCTTCAAGTTGACTTTTATTTAACGGGAACGATTTTGACAGATTCTGTATTTGTTGTAAAATAATTGAAAGATCATCTTCGTTCAAATCAAAATGAACATTTCCTGGGCTTTCGCCTTTAATTAAAAAGTATTGTAAACGAGTCCATGCTTGAGCAATTTCAAGTTTTTCTGGAAGCGAACAGCTGTTCATGCAACGTTTAAAAATCAATGCAATAGTTTTAGCCGACTTATGATTAAAATTTCCATAATATTTTTTTAACAATCTGATAAACTGTTGTAAATAATCTTTACACACAAGATTGCCAATCTTGAAGTAAGAGCAAAACATTTTGTCCGATCCAAACCAAGGCGCGACCATTATAATTCCAGTCACATGTTTTCGATATATCTTATTGTAATTTAATGCAATATAAGCACCGTAACTATAACCTAACAATAACCATGATTGAATATTCAAATGTTTTCTAAGCTCTTCTATTTGATCTACTAATTCGGACACTGGAAGGTTAATTATTTTTCTACCGGTTCTGCTTTTGCCACAACCGCATTGATCATATAAGATAAATTTGTAAGATCGATTATCTAATTCAATGTTAGAAAACACGGCATGAGTGTCACCTGGGCCACCATGAATAAATAAAATTGCAATTTTACCATCAGGGTTTACTACTCTGTAGTATAAAACATTGGTTGAATAAAGTGTTAGGATATCATCGTATTGCTTAAAATTGGTTAGTAAATCACTAGTAATTGAATTTTTTTCTAAACCTGGAGTGTGAGTATTTATAACCAGATCACCTGATTTATTATTATTATTTTTTTCTTCAATATTCGGTAAATTAATTATAGAAGAGCTGGGAGGATCGGACATCTCCCAAGAAAAATAATATTCTTGAATGCCATTAGGGTTTATCATAAATAAATTTTAATTGTGTTTGTTATAGAACACAACACGTTTAAAGTTGGGTGCACATTTTACGAAAACTAGTGTTAAAAATTGGTTTTGCAAGATTTAATTGAATCTGCTTAGGTATATATTTTATGTTAACGAGATTTAGAACAGATCATAGTATTGAACAAATGAATTATGGGTAATATATGCTCTAAGAGGCCAGGTGAATTTCAGTTTTTAGCATCAGAGAAGCTCAACAATATATTTGGCATACCGCTTTTTAGCACTTCTCCGATCCAGAATTATAGAATTTCTGACAAGCCATCTGAGTTCGTATCAAGTTTTAATTTTGCAATAGAACTATCCCAGATTAAAATTACAAATTTAGAAAATAAAAAATGTCAATATGTTTTAGTTGCTGCTTGGGATAAAAATTTAGCTCGATCATCAGTAGTCACTTCTAAAAATCAAGCTTTATCTATTTGCGAAACCTGGTCTTTCCAATGGAACGGTGGCAATTACATCGAACGTCTCAAAATTACGTATTTAATACTCTCGTTATACCGCATAGACGCTTTTAACAATGCAGGTATTGTGGGCTATATTTGCATACCGTCGTACAATTTGGCAGTAGGTCCAGTGCATAATAATTTCACACTATCCTCGCACAAAGATGTTCACATTGAATTCCAATTTAAAATTACTCAAATTTGTAATATGAGTCTTTCATTTATTGAGTTATTAGCAGATTTTCATAAAAGTAAACCAAATTATCAAGATGATTTGGAAGATGTAGTTCATATACAAAATAATGACGAAGCTGAATGTCTAAACAATGAATGGATGGTTAAGATTCGAATAAGTGAGTTGAATTTAACTTCTTGTACAAGCTGGACTAAACCTACTATTACGCCTCATTGGATTCATCTACCAGACGAAAATTATTTTCCTGAATGTTCAAAACTAGTTTTATCAAGTAGTTATTCTATGAAATCAGAGCACTCGACCAACGATGAGGAAATTGATTTTGTGGAAAATAAAAACATCAATATTAATGCCGAAGAAGCTCATGCTGAAGATTATAAAGATCTACAAGAAAAATTATTAGAATATAAGAAACATTGCATTCAAAACAATAGTCCTTTTGCACTTAAAAAAGACGCTCCTGAGTTATCTTTTAAAATTTCAGCAGACCTTTTGAGAGAACATGGTTTGACAATTTTGCTATACAGAAAAAGAAACAATTTAGATGGGCCTGTCTATTATGGTGAAGCCTGGATTCCGTTTATTAAACTCTTTGACGTCGAGTTTACAAACAATGAATCCAGAAGATTTTACGATGTAGAATATAACGAAATTATATTTGACGAAGGAGTGTCAAGAGGGCTAATTTCAGGAATAATTGTCATTCAAGACATACCAGTTCTCCGACAAATTTTTTCTGGTGTTAATACTGAGAGTGGTATACACTCTGTTGTGACGCCTTTAATGCGCAACGTCTCTCTTATTGTGAATCGAAGAGATTTGGATAAAAAAATCGCTTCTTACATCAACAAATTTCACGAAACATGTCAATTAAAGTGTAACCAACGTTTCTCCACAGCTCAATGCCAACTCTCATTACCAGCTACTCTTGCTAAGGAAGTCATCAACCCCTTAATAAATTTGTTGAAGAATAACAATGTGAAAGAACAACCGTTTCATTATACAACTGTCGAGTCTTTAGTGGATTTCCAAATTTTATTACTTGATTTAGCCGATTTACTAATACAAACATACGAATATATTAATTGGACGATCAAAGTGCCATATTTAAAGTTGCTTCTAATACTATTACAACGGGAAGAACTGGAACTTAGCAATATAAGCCCTTCATTGCCTTATTATTTCCCGGAGAATCCACAAGAATGGAAAAAAATTTTTAAACAGGCTAGTAAATTTAAGGGTAAAAAATACAGTAAAAAGAAATTATCAAACGTCAAGTTAAATAACACAAGTTTCGATATCTCGAAAGCGTTTGCTGATGAAATCGCGATACCTTATAACGAAAATATTGTTAGTTCAGATAGTAAAGAGATTTTTAACGAATCTGAAGATATTAAAAGTTGTGAACCTTCAAAAACCACAGCTCCGTCTAACCCAATAAATGCTTTGGTCAAGTTGCCTAGAAAGATTAAACTTACTCAAAACGAGTTACAATTGGATAAATCAACTTTGTTCGTTGGATTAACCAAACCCGTAACAATATCAGATCAAATAAGTAAAAACTTATTAGGATACGGCACAAACGCCAATAATAATCAATTTCAATATGGAAGATTGGTTTCTGAAAGTCAAAAAATTGAAGATACCAATCTTATTCTTCGTAAGCTTGTTTATGATCAAAAGCAAATAGATTCATCTCTTCCAATTATTTGCAAAGATGGATCAAATATGCTTTTGGACGCGGAGAATCAGTCACTGTTATTAAAAAATTCTTTTAATACAATTGAAGGAATAACAGAAATACTTTTATTCAAGACGAGATTAGAAATTTGTCAGTTTCATTTGCAAATTTTAATTAATCTCCTATCTCTCTGTATGAAAGAAATAAATTCTACAGCAATGTTCGAAAAGCAACGAGTACAAATAGCAAAAGTATTGGCATTACTGTTTGTCAGACTACCAACGTTTAATAAACTTATTATCAATAACATATTAAGCGAAGAGGAGAAGTTCTTTAAATTACCAGGTTGGAGAGGCGCAGATTTTCTTTTAGATAACAGTTCGTTAATAAAAAAAAACAACTGGGCAAATAAACAAACTCCCAGTGTTGTAGAATTAAGGGTCGTGCTCGATTGGCACCCGTTGACAGATTTGCTACAAAAATACTATAGAGATTCTTTTAATGAAGAAAAGAACGTACTTGACATCATGAAAGATCATAATTATACGTGGCTTAAACAACGTAACAGTTTATTTTTCTATTTTTTCGGTTCTTGGATTCAGTTTATGTGCAATTTGTTTGAAATATATAGGTCTCACAAGCGCATTTTTTTGAGATGGGATTTAATACCAGGTTATGCGACTTTACTTAAAGCGTTTCTCATCGAGATGCGATCAAGACCGTTAAATAAAATGCCTGACGCAATGCTGCATTGCTCGTGCATCTTGTTGACGAATGAAAAATTGCTAGCAGTATTCCTGCAATTCATACTGCATCGCACTAGTCTTTACGACCGAGTGGGATTAAACAGTGCTTTCAACTATATCGATCTTTGGTTTACTACGTATGGTAAAACAAATCGCGCAATCAGTCAAAGCTTTGACCACAGAGTATTACGTAGAGCTGTTGAAGTGATTATATCTAGTGATTTAGTCCATCAAATGATTTGCTGTTTGAATTTTTTATACGAGAACTTGGCTTTGTTAATCACGCATAACCAATTTTTATGTTTCATCATCGAATTGCTGTTGAATAAATACTTTTTCTATTTGATACTTCACTGGTCTTATGGTGTGCGGAATTGTTTTGTAAACATTTTACTATTTTGCATTTGCGAGACAGTGCGACGTATTGTAGTTCGTTATCAATCGGATAAAACTCAAAAATCGCTTACCTTAGAAGAAAGGCTTTTATGCTGGGCTTACATTATGATTGTACGAAATTTCCAAAACCTAGGCATACCTCCTGTGTTTCCAACAAAGTTTGAAACAGTTGCTATTCGTAAACTGCTTTCGCGTAAGTTAACCTGCGAAACAACGAATAGAACAACGCTGCTTTGGAACATGCCGTGTGTTTTACCGAAAAAACCTGTTCAGGACGTAGAAATAAAAATTACAAAATCACGAGAAAAAGAAAATATAAACAATAAAATGCTTATATGGCCTTTGATATTTGTATTAGACTCGCGGTTAAAAACTAAAAAAAATCTAAAGACCAAAGAAGAAAACTTATTAAGCAAAAACGTTGTGGATGCAGTAAAAGATTTTGATTCGTCAGAGTACGTAGATCCACGGGAGTTTTTGCCACCGGCTGAAGGCATTAAACCCAATAAGAAGTGTTATTTACAATTGTTGCTACAAGAAATGCCTTCCAAGCAAGAAGCATATAAATTATGGATTATGTCTGGTGAATACAAAGTAAGTTTACTGGTTTTAAAAATAAATTATAGATTCCTCCATTACAAGTTTCGAACATGCCTTTGGATGCGAACATAGAGTTTTCGATCTCGTGATGATCAATTGAATAACCGAGTAAGACTGCCTCTGAGTTGATTAATAGCAAGTAATGCGTTAGAGCCTTCTGGCGTGTTGATTATGGAGTTTTTAGCGTTTCCAGCGGTTTTTTTGATAAGGTTTAGGTCTTGGCCAAGAAGAAATCTATTAAGTAAAGTTCGAGAGAGGACATTTTTATTTACTGTGTCTATCGTGTTGTTGGCGAACTTTGAAAGAAACTCTGACATGTTGTACGAAAACGTATTTTCGGGGTTTCGATTTGTCAAAAGTGACGATAAGTTCTCGACTAAAAACAGTCCAGACGCACAATTCGTAACAATTAAAAAATTGTAAATTATATGTTTAAACCTCATAACTCTTTATAAATGTCTAAAATGATTAAAAAAAATACAGTAAAACACTTTACCTAAAGTATAACAGTGTTTGTTGTTTGTTTGTGTTAATCGTTCTGGAGCAAAAAATAGCTAATGAAACACACTGGGAAGCAGAAAAAAGTGAGTTAACAATGGTAATATTTCGGTATTGACATGCTAGTAATTTCAGAAAACGTGTAAATATGTATTTGGTTGTACATCAAGATTTGTTTATTATAGAAATTTTAAATAGGTTTTTTTGAATTTAGTGATTAGCGTTTGTCCATTCCCTCGAATAGAAAGAGTAAGGAATGTTTATTTTCGTTGATGTACTAGGAGCGGGAAAAGAAATAGGACGAAGTTGTGTGATTGTAACTTGGTCTAAAAAAGAAAAGCACAGAAATGCTT